GGAAGATTCGTTTCTCTCTCTCTCTCTCTCTCTCTCTCTCTCTCTCTCTCTCTCTCTCTCTCTCTCTCTCTCTCTCTCTCTTCGAGAGTGAATCTTCCTGCGAAAGCTGGAAGATTCATTCCCGCTTTCTGTTTCCAGTTCGTTTTTTTTCTTGTGTTTATATATATATATATATTTTTCTTATTGTGTGAGTAACACCCCGTACTTGGCGGGCTCCGGCCAAGGAGTGACCGGGCCTTCCCTTGGCCGACCTCCCTAAGGCTGCGGCGCGTATACGGGAAGGCCCGCGGCCGATAGCTGAGCGAGGTACTGGTGGTTTAAGAGACCTGCTGCGCACTCTGGACGTTTTTTCTCTTGTTTTCTTTTTTCTGAAGATTGGAAGTTTCCACGGTGATTTCACTTGGGCCGTTGACTTTCAGGAAGTCAACGGGGCCGCTGATTTGACTGCATGGCAGCACCACTTGGCCAAAGATTGACCAGCACTGCATCTTCATTCAAGAATAGGTTGCGTGATTTGACTGCGTGGGGCATATCGCAAACAATTCAGGCCCAAAGGGCATTCCGCTCCACCCAGATATTTTAGGGTAATTTTGGTATATAGCTCATTTTGAGGGGTATAACGCATATTTCTCCACCCCAAACAAGGAACTAAGGGAAAAAGAAAGAAAAACGGATCAGGCCCCGATTTCGAGCCTTGGGGCCGATAGGGGTTTTGATCACCACCGCCGACACCCTCGCGTTTGGAGAACAACGGTAGGCCCTTTCAGGTTTCTTAAATAAATCACGTCCGATCTTGGCTGTCCATCTGTGAAGATCGACGGCATAGATCGGGCCAGGTTTGAATTCCACGGCCGGCGCGTTTTCTTTTTTTTCGTTGTGTTTTTTTTTTTCTTTCGGGTGGCGCGTTTTTGTGTACCTGGCGGGAAACCGCCCCCGCTTCGCACCACGGACGGCCCGCGCTGGCCCGCCGCTCCGCGGCTCATCGACATGCACGACTCGCGCCATGCAACTCGAGCATCACCATCGGCGATCTCCACGGACCAGGTATGTGGACTTCCCTCCTACCAGACACCCTCCGCTCCCACCGTCCTTCAGGTCCTCGTCTTCTTCTTCTTTTTATTCTTTGTTCTTTTTTCTTCCATCATTCCCTCCATGTCTCCCTCCGCCTCCTCTCTGCTTACTTCTCTTCTTCTTCGTCGTCTTCTTGAAATCTTACGCGTTAAGCGTCGAACACGCACACGTTCGAAAACGTCTCGTGCGGAAAAGAGACACACCCACACACACACACGGAGAGAGAGAGAGAGAGAGAGAGAGAGAGAGAGAGAGAGAGAGAGAGAGAGAGAGAGAGAGAGAGACGTGGTCGTCCAGAGAGAGCGAGTCAGGTGACTGCATGCCACGTGGTCGTCCACATGTCGCATGGGCGCTTGGAGACCCGCGCGCGCGCGCGAGAGAGAGAGAGAGAGNGAGAGAGAGAGAGAGAGAGAGAGAGAGAGAGAGAGAGAGAGAGAGAGAGAGAGAGAGAGAGAGAGAGAGAGAGGATGTGGCCTATGAGAGAGGGAGGGAGGCGTTTCTTTTTCTTGTTAATTGCACGCTCGTTCAATCAATCAATTAATCTTTGTTGAGCGATCGACACATTGGTTAATTGCTTGATTGGAGAAAAGAGCAAGAAGCGTAGGAGGACGACTGTCGCGGAGGGTCGGGGAGGGTCGGGCGGAAGGTCGGGGAGGAGCGTGTCGAGGGGAGGCACGCGGAAATGTTGAGGCACGGAGAACGTAGGGAGGGGGAGGGGAGGGAGGAATAGGTAGGAGGAGGTCGGGAGGGGGAGGGGAGGGAGAATGTAGGGAGGGACGGAGAAGGGAGGGAGGGAGGGAGGGAGGGAGGGAGGGAGCGGGGGAACTGAGGAGGAAGACGAGTAGCAGGGAAGGAGGAGGACGGAGGGAGGAGGAGGGAGGACGTCGCAGTCGATGGCGATGATGACGTTTGTGACGTTTTTTCATTTCTTCTTTATTATGAAAAAAATCTTCAATTGGCTCCTGTTTTTCTCTGCTTCTTTGTTTCTTCCTGTTTTTTTGTTCCGACGTTAGGTCAATCAATCAATCAATCAATCAATCAATCAATCAATCTATCTATCTAACGACCAATCAATTAACCTATCTATTTAAGGATCATTAAAGATCAACCTCACTCACTCACTCACTCACTCACTCACTCACTCAATCAATCAATCAATCAATGAATCACTCACTCACTCACTCACTCACTAATCAATCAATCAATCAATCAATCAATCAATCTAACAATCAATTCAGATCAACCTAAATTGATCTTTACTGATCGCGAGATTGATTGACTGATTGTTCGATCGATGTATATTGACCGTTAGATTGATTGATTGATGGATTGATTGATTGATGGATTGATTGATTGATGGACTGATTGATGGATTGATTGATTGATTAGCGGAGTTGCAGATGAGAAGAGGAGAAGGAGTAGGGTATGGCAAGGGTTGGGTACAGTCAGGGAGGGTTGGGCGAACGAAAGAGAGGATCGGGGCCGGGGCGAGAGTGTCGGGAAGGAGGGTGTCTGAGGGGAGGGTCGGAAGGAGGGAGGCACGGAGAAATGAGAAGAGAGGAGGATGGAGGATGCGGGAGGGAGGATGAGGAGAAGGAGGTCGGTTGGAGGAAGAAGAAGAAGAAGAAGAAGAAGAAGAAGAAGAAGAAGAAGAAGTCGACGTCAAGGAGTACTAGTAGTAGTAGTTAGATTAATCAATCAATCAATCAATCAATCAATCAATCAATCAATCAATCAATCAATCAATAATCAATCGACCAATCAATCGACCAATCAATCGACCAATCAATCGACCAATCAATCGACCAATCAATCAAACTAAGTATCCATGGGGGAAAGAAGAAGAAGAAGAAGAAGAAGAAGTCGATGCCAAGGAAAAGGCGGAGTTAGATCAATTGCTCAATCAATCAATCAATCAATCAATCAATCAAACAATCAATCAAACAATCAATCAATCAAAGAATCTAACGATCAATAAAGATCAATCTTGGTTTATGACTTTGCAACTGTCTTGTCTTGTTTGAACCCCCTTTCTGTTGCCTGATGTGAAAGAGGAAGAATAACAACAATGACGACTCAATCCTGTCTTTTTTTGTGTTCTTTTCTTTTGTTCATACATCTCTTGTCTCGATTGGTTTCTTTTGTCAAAACCTCTCTCCTTCCTCTTCCTTCTCCTTCGTCTTCACTGTCTTCCCTTCCTCTTTTTCAAGCTTCAACCATAGCTTCGCCTCTTTTTATTTTATTTTAATATGGGCGACATCCTTGTGATATCATCATTGAGCTGACCGGACCCAGGTAATTCAGATTTATTTCATTCTGTTCATCTGATCGCAGCTGGATTTGAACGTGGGTCTGTCTTTTCAACAGTTAGGTGGGTGTTCCAAATGAGCTAGCCCCGCTGGTCCACCTCCATTCGTTTACCTTCGCTTCCCACTCCTCTACTTATCCGTTAGCCTCCGTTAGCGGAGGGGTAAGGAAATCGGTCACATACTAATTTAGGAAATGTGCAAAGCGAAGACAACATGGACCATGATTATTTATAGAAAAAAGCTACCGTCGTCACCCGAATAGAACGCGGGGTCATTAATGCTGTATTTGGGCCAACTTCCAGTCCAGAAACAGGTGAAATTACCGGGCGTTCTATTCGAGGGAAGACGGTAGCACAGACTAACTGTTTTTTAGGATAGAGGACCACGACATGGTCTAAGCGCTCCGAGGAATGGTGGTCCCCACCAAATAAAGTGCTTCTGAGATTTGTCTTCTAAGCGCTCCGAGGAATGGTGGTCCCCACCAAATATAGTGCTTCTTAGATTTGTCTTTTAAGGGCTTAGAACAACAGTGGGGACCACTTTTTCTCCAGTACTTTCTTCCACCGAATACAACGTACGGTCATTATGGCTGTATCTTTACAGAAAGATGCCTCAGATACAGCTTACGTTGTATTCGGGGAAAGAAGGTAGTGCAATAGAGAGCGTAGCACGGACCACGGCAAACTTAGAGGAGGTAAGAGGAGGAGATTAAGAAGCAGAGGGATTAGCAGAGTACGAAAGGCACCCTCATTTTGACTGTACCGGGACGGAATAACAGTCTGTATACATCGAG